TCCTTTCACTAGCCCACTTCACCGGGGTAGTGCAGAAGCCAGGAAAGTTCCCCACAATAGCGGGACCATTCCCCCGCTTACATCAGGGTGGTTTTTTTACAGCGCTACAACTGCACAGTTTCTGCACACAAAGCGGCTTGGCAGTGTGTACAACTCAGGACTTTCACCGCAGAAAGCTGCTTTGCTGCGCAGAAACTTGCCAGTGTAGACAGAGCCTCAGTGCTCACTTTAACAAGGCCAGTTTCTTGCTCTAATGGCTCTCACGCCCCCTGCCCCCCGGCATGTTTCCTTCAGCCAACCTCTGGTTTTTGATTATGTGGTGTGCGCAATACTGCCTTGGCCGTGATCAGTTTGTGTTTTTAGGCCTGGCTTCTCCAGCAAAGGCTCTAAGGACCTAAATATAAAAATGAACATTCTAATTTATCTCTTTAGTTCATCCCCGATTCAGGGGGGCTGGGCTCATTTGCTGCTTGGGCCCACAGCCCGGCTCCGTGCGCATTCCCACACCTTGCCCTCTCTGCCTATTTCCCTTTCTGTTAACCATGCAAAATTAGGGGGCTTTCCATGGGTAGCGGATAGAGATTTAAGGTCTGAATTCTCAATGGCACCGTCTTGCCAATCCCAAACTTTTAAAAACCATGAGTCAGGACCTTCAAAATGATGTGATTGCCTTTTATGAGACATAAAAATAATAATAAATGTTGGGTTCTTTCTATTTGCATTCGGGTTTCTCAGACCTTTAGGCTACACTCAGATCACATTTTTAAGTTTTTCTCCGCAACCAATAGAGCTAGAAACTTCTTTTGTTTAGGAAACGAAAGCCAAGAGTCTCACCTCATCACATGCTTCCAGGAGCTGGGGATTTAACAAACACACCAAATATCATAAGACTCATTATAAGATCATGAGTGTTGGTGACACTGCGGCCCCTTTACACTGAGCCAGAGCTGCCTTGGCGTACTTTAGAATCAGGCCTTTGAAACATTGATTCCAGCTAAACCAAGTTTTTGGCCTGTGAATTGAATATGACTAGATTTGGAAGGATTCGATTATATCAATAGGTGTCTGTAATCGTTGATTTAATTTTGCACACACAAACTGATGAAAAAATATTTCCATTGATAATAACATACATTTACAAATAGGCACAGTAAGAAAAATGCGGCATGAGAACTTCTTAGAGTTTGATTTAAAGAGGTTTACTTAGCATATTTTGAAATGTGATGCTGATCATTTGTGTTTTAATGGTTACAAAGTTTTAACTTTTTGAATCTCATTGGCTACTGTCATTAAATAATTATTGCGTGACCAAAATATTGCCCATAAATTCCCACAAATGGGAACATTTAAATTGATAAAAACTGTGCAATTGTGAAAGTTGAAATAGATACAATTTATTTTAAAGTATTTTTTTATATTTATCTGTCAAAATGCTATATTCAATAAAATGAATTCTGCCCAAGCCTAAACATCACTCCTTAGACACACAGTTCTGCAAGCTCGTCAGGACAGGGGAATGGATGCTGATGTCCATCTGAAGCCCCAGTGACCCTCCTCACCAGCACAGGGGGCTGCTTGCAGGACCAGAGCCCTAGTGGGGTACATTTTTCATGAAAGCCTCCAGGGCGGTAATGTTACCAGTTGGGAGTTGACTCTTTCCAATTCAGCAAACAGAGTGAGTCAGTTCCAGGAAGGGAAACACCCCCTTGCTGCTGCAGGCGGGCCTGGTGAAATTGACATTTACCCTGTTACACTGCCCAGAGGAGCCATGGCTGCAGAGAACCCTGTGGAAAGTCTCCAGGAGGAAGCTACATGTCCTATCTGTCTGGAGTATTTCACAGAACCTGTCACTCTGGAGTGTGGGCACAATTTCTGCCGAGCCTGCATCGCCCAGTGTTGGGAGGGATCCACTACAGCTGTCTCCTGCCCTCAGTGCAGAGAAACTGTGCAGCAGAGAAACCTCAGGCCAAACAGGCAGCTGGCAAATGTGGTAGAAATAGTCAAACGGCTGAGTTTACGGGCAGCAAAAGGAGCAGGAGGGGATGGGGTGTGTGACAGACACCAGGAGGCTCTGAAACTGTTCTGCGAAGAGGATCAAACCCCGATCTGTGTGGTGTGTGACAGATCCCGGGCTCACGGCGCTCACACGGTGGTTCCCATAGAGGAGGCTGCCCAGGAGTACAAGGTAGGGAATTGCTGTCAAGTTTAATGAGTAATAATTTGGATTTCAATTACAGGCTAATTCCACTGAAAGTTACCTGGCACAGGTGTGGTGCACCATTCAGCTGTGTAAAGCCTTCATTGTATGGATGATATTATAATAAGTAAATGATCTGCTAGCGTGGCAAAAAATGGAGTCTTTAAAGATACCTGATGTGGGAAACTTTTCTCTAAGATTCTCAATCCTTTTCAAAATTATCTTCCACTGTTAATTGATCAGTAAGGTTTAAATCACAAGAGCCGCAGGCCAAAGTGTGTTACCTTCAGCCTGTAAAAAGAGAAGTTACAAGCTGTTGTTACAGATTTGTTTAATAGAATTTATTATTATTATCTTTATTTGCATCCCAGTAGCCCTAATAGACCACAAATGAGATCTGGGCCCTGCACTAAA